TCTAAATCTAGAAAAGGACAACTGCTGCTGTTTATGTACATGTTAGATTTAGTTAAAGTAAGTTCTTTTGGGTAAATTTCGGTAGTATATTTAGAGAACTCTGGATTATTTAACGAAAAATATCATCCAGATAAAGGTACAATGTAGGTATTGTTGAATGTATCAACCAAATGTAACAATGATGTGTCTTTACTGAGTTTTGTCATAAACTGAGATTCAACATGTTCAAAGCAATACAGGAATAAATCTGCTATTAAAGGGGCGCAGTTAGTGCCCATAGGAATACCTACTACCAGACGATACACTTTATCGCCGAAACGATAGAGGTGGAAATAGAATGATAGGATCAGAAATCCTATGCATGTTTCCAAGCAACTGTTCTGTTTTAATGATGTTTTCCTGTATCTATCAAACAGTTTTTACCTCCATCATGTCCATTATGAAAATCTGCCCCCTATTCAACATGGCTGCACTAACTGTTTAGGGGCCTATTTGTATCGGATTACATCAAAATGACAATTGGCAAACGTTTGTGGATTAGTTTGGATTGCTAAATCTGCTGAGGTGTGCCAAACATCAAATTAAAGCATATGATTTCCTTCAATTTTATATATCTGATTCACGAAATGTTTGACAACTCAAAACAAAAGCTTAACATATAAAATCTAATGACATTTGTAATATCCAATAGACTTCAGAAGCTCACCAGGCAGCTCTTACATATCAAAATATATCATTTAGACTTTTCTTACTTTTGGTTTTAAAATGTTAAGTTTTGCGATTATTTTTTTATTATTATTATTGAGCACTAGGGTGCTCTTCTTCTTCTTCTTCTTCTTCTTCTTCTTTATAATTCAGCACTCCATCAACATACTGATGATAACGTGCCGGGCACTGATTTTACTATGCCGCGCGTGCGTGGGATCTAATTTTTATTTAGTGAATAATATACAAAAATAAAAATTTAATTTCTTTTTCCTCTGTTTTTGTACTTTACATTTTGTTTAAAACTATATACATTGTAGAATTTATTTAAATGTTTAGATGTTTATCGAGAACAGATATTGGAATCTGTTCTCGGAAACTTTCAAGAGTAGTACATTGAACTGCAGTTACTGGGAGAAGGTTCCATTGTAAGATTGTTCTTGGGTAGAATGAGTACTTGTATGAGTCTTTAGTGGTTTGTATGGGTCTGAAAGAATAAATATGTGAATGTTGTCGTGTTCTTGTATCGGATTGTGTGAGTAGATCTGTCGGGTATATGGCTACAAGATGATGTATGATTTTGTAGAAGAAGATGATGCGTGTTCTTATTCGCCTTTTCTCAAGAGTTGCCCAATTTAGTGTTTGCAGCATTTCAGTGACTGAGCTGGTGTTATGGTATCTGTTGCATGTGTACCTTGCTGCTCTGCGCTGGACCATCTCAAGTTGGTGTGTTTGTGATTTGGTATGTGGGTCCCAGACGCAGCTGCTGTATTCTAGCTTTGGTCTTACTAGTGCTATGTATGCTTTTTCTTTAACTGTTTTTGAATTTACCTTTAAATTTCTTTTAATGAAGTTCAGCTTTTGTGTGGCTGCAGCTGTGATGTTGTTTACATGCTTGTTCCATTTTAGGTCAGTTTGTATAGTAATGCCCAGATATTTTGTTGATGTTTCTTTTTGCAGTACATGTTGGTGGAGAGTATAGTCAAATTTTAATGGGTTTTTCTTGGTTGTTATCTGGAGGACTGAGCACTTGTCTGGATGGAATGACATGAGCCAGTCCTTCTCCCATTTTGCTGCTGATGTAAGGTCCTCTTGCAGTTTTTGTGTGTCTTCTTTGTTTCGTATTGTTTTATAAATTATACTGTCATCTGCAAATAATCTTAGGGTGCTGTGTTTGATGTATTCATTAAAGTCGTTGATATACACAAGGAACAGGATAGGGCCCAAAACTGTTCCTTGGGGAACACCAGATGTTACGTTAATTTTGTCTGACTGAACACCATCAATAATGACTGTTTGTGTGCGAGATGTGAGGAAATCTTCTATCCATTTTAAGGTGTTGTGTTCTATGCCATAATATTTCAGTTTGTATAGAAGTCTTTTGTGAGGAACTTTGTCAAATGCTTTGGCAAAGTCCATCACAATTATGTCAGTTTGAATGTTATTGTTGTTATTTTTTGCTAGTTCTTGGATGAATGATACTAGTTGAGTTTCACATGATCTAGATGCTCGGAATCCGTGTTGAAGGTCGTACAAGATTTTGTTATTTTCTAGGTGGTCCATCATACTACTGGCTATAATGTGTTCCATGATCTTACATAGTATACATGTGAGTGATATTGGTCTATAGTTCATTGCGTTATGTTTATCACCTTTTTTAAAAACAGGACAGACATTTGCATGTTTCCAATCTTTTGGGATTTTTCCTGTGTCAAGTGATTTTTGAAAGATGTAGGTGATTGCAGTTGAAATGTCACTACTAAGTTCTTTAAGTACTGTTCCGCAAATTTGATCTGGACCAGTTGCTTTATTAGGATTGATCTTGTCCAGTAATTTTATTACACCCTTCTTGGAAATGGTGATGTTATTCATTTTTGGATAGTTTGATTTCCCTTTATCCGGAATAGGTTCACTTGTTGTTTCTTCGGAAAATGCTTGTTTAAATTGACTATTTAGGATGTTAGTTTTGTCAGATGTGTTATCAGTTAGTTTACCATCTTTTCTAAGTGCAGCAATGCCTGTATTGTCATTTTTCATACTTTTGATGTATGTAAACAAGTTCTTAGGTTGTTTTTTTCTGATGTTGTCGTCTGGTTCTTCTACTGGTAGGTCAAATATCATTTTTTCGATGTAATTCCAGTAGGCATTACGCATTTCTTTTTGTAATGTTCTTTTTAAGTTTTTGTATTTTTTCATTTGATCTGGACTGTTTTTGCTCTTTTTATGTAGTCTTTTAACTTTGTTTATCATGATTTTTAAGGTGTTATCAACCCAGGGTAGTTTTTTCTTGTTTGTGATTGTCTTCTGGGGGATGTTTTTCTTGACTGATTGAAGTAGCCTTCCTGTGAATGTATTCCATAGATCATCGGTAGATGAACTATGATAATGACCTTTGATTTCTTGTGTGAGTTTGTTCACATCTTGTTTGATGTTTTCCCAGTTAGCTTTTCTATACTGGTAAGTTTTTCTTGTCATTTTCTTGTTGCGTTTTAGAGATAGTGCACATTCTGCATAGACGATTATATCATGGTCTGCATTTCCGATAGGAGGCATAGTTTCCAATTTGTTCACTATGCTTGGTATGTTGGTGAAAAAGAGATCAAGTGTTCTATCTCCCCTTGTGGGCTTTTTTACAATCTGCTCAAGTGAATGTTCATTCATAAGGTTAAGAAGTTGTTCATGTAGCTTGATGTCTGGTTTGCTCGGGATGGTGCACGGAATATCCCAGTTTATGTGCCCAAGATTAAAGTCGCCACCAAGAATGATTGTAGATTTTGTATTTTGGTTTATGCGATCTAGTGAAATTTTAAGCTGTTCAATTGATGTGCCATTATCAGATGGAGGTCGATAATAACTTCCAACAATTAACTTTCTGGCATTTGTCATATTTATTTGTACCCAAATAGACTCTGAGTCTGTTTGTAGATCTCTAATTTCTTCAGATAGTAAGTTTGTTGTTACTGCAATAAGTACACCCCCATGGCTAAGATTTTTATCGCTTAGAGGTCGGTCTTTCCTATATACAGTATAGTCTATCATTGGGAAAAATTCAGATGATAATATGTCTTTGTTGAGCCAGGTTTCAGTACCTATGATGATGTCAGGTTTAGTTGATATCAAGATTTCTTGTAATTCTTGTCTTTTATTTTTAAGTGACTGAAAGTTGATGTTTAAAATTTTCAGAGGTGTTTCTTTTTTACACTGAGTTTGCTTGTTCACCTGTTTTTTCGGTGTTGAAGATGCAGTAGGTTGTAAGTTTAAGTTTCCCACTGATTGGTCGTCTAGGGGATCAAATGAATTTGATGTTTCGAGTGATGATAAGTCGAATATTGATGATGAAAAGTTTGGCATTCCACATTGTATACAATGCCAAGATATGTTTGATGAGTCCAAACATTTGTAGTTTAGGGATGGCATGCCTTGGCAGGTTGCATGGTACCAGATGTTACATGTATCACAACAGATAGCTTTTTGGCTCCAAGTGACTGCTTTTTTACATGTACCACAGGGCCATTTAGGTGTTCTTGGTCCAGGGTTTAGCTCTGTGTCGCCAGAAAGAGCTAATAACATAAGGGATAAGTATTGGTTTGATGCTTTCACATTTTTTGATTTAAGGTGTTGTACAATTTCTCTAAAGTTTGAGAAGTTTACTGATTTTATTGCATGTAAGTTACCAATGGTGTTTATTGGACTGGTTGCCTGGTTATTTGTTTGTATAGGCTGACTGCATAACTTCAGGAGTATCAAACCAGTCACCAGGGTATAAAGAGTTAGTGGACATGCGAAGGCCATGGTCTTATTTTGGTTGATTTAAATGTTATCTATATTAAATGTTATCTATATAAATAGGTTAATTATCTATATAAATAGGTTAATTATAAATACTATGCTCCTCTGCAAGCACCTTAATCTGTTAGTTGGTAATAAATACTTGTGTATTCTTGAATTCTTAAATTATTTCTAGAACATTTAACATTAACATACTATGTTCTGTGCATTTTATTTCCTCCATTTCCAGTTTACTCATTTACGTCTACTTTCAATTTGAAAATATTGCAAATTTTGTAAATCCCGCGAATATCCGCGAGATTTCGAAGAATAAAAGCTAGATCAGTGCTGTTCTTATATATATTGTTGTTGCATTAAAAATGAAAACAACCACTTTCAAACTAATAAAAACATACTAGAATTTTCTATTCTCATGGGAACATATCTTATTCAGCATCAATATTAGAATATTGGTATTCATTAGTTTTGACACATTTTTATAACCTTGCCTTTATTCAATCTCAAATTTACGGTTTACATCCGGTTATACATCTGTAATGTTTTTACTAAAGTAGTAGTTAAACCGGTTAAAAGTATTTAGAGATGACAGAGAGGAAAAGAGTCCAATTATGGGATCCACATAAATTGTATGATTTAAGTCATGCTGAAATGGATGCAATACGGCGACGGGCAGAGCAAAGAGTTGCACTAAAAGCTGAATGGCAAAGGAAGGTCACTGATCCGTTCAAAGCAGAATTCCCAGTATGTTCATATATAATTATTCCTGTCTGCAAAGTATTGTACAGACATTTTGAAGAACAGACAATTGGTGAAACAGTTTGGGACCAGCAACCCAATATGCCAAATTGAACAAATAAACATTGCAAAAATTATCTTATATTCACTCCATTGTCATTGAACTTTATTTGAATTATAGCAAACTGGTATCCACTGTTCTCCCCTGGATTTTTTTTATAGCGCTGTGGTAAGTGGGCAATATCAGACTGAATCCCCTTCCATTTGGCACAATTGTACAATACTGCCATATTTTATATACATAATCATTATTTAAAATAAATTAAATGGGAAAAAAAAACTACATATGCATCAACAGAAATGGAAGGAAATAAGTTACATTTTAGATATATTTATTTAGTATTGAAAATTAAAATACATTTGTAAATCTTTTGATTTGATTAAGTATGTTTATACTTATAAAATTTACACTTTATGAACATAATGAATAACATTACAAACCCCTTCTGAGATTGCCCATCCATTCTCGAAAGGAAACGGTTAACTACAAAACACAGGGTCCAAGAAGATTACCTCAAAATGTATCTTAATTTTGGATGTTTTTAGGCAGTTAAGCTGCCTTATGCGAGCACCCTCAGGGACTTAACTTGGGAATTTCAAGCTGGGAGCCGAGGCCAGATATTTCATAATTAGTTTCTATATGTTCAACTGAAATTTACCTGAAAGTTTAGGGGCCCAGCTCAAAATCTAGGAGCCATGGGCGACTGGGCTCCCTTTAAGTTTTGTCCCTGACCCTAGATTTGTGTTCTAACCAATAAATGCTGAAATACGGGCCATTGTTATTATCTAGCTGGCTATTATGTTATTTATAACTAATTGGACATTTTTTTAAAACTTTTATTTCTGGAATACAAAAAATATGACCAGAAAACCTTAAATGATCGTCAAACTAACCAAAACTTTTGAAGTTGCACATATGAAGTAGTGCTCAATAGAAAACCGTACGTAGTTTATTATCCCCTGTGCTTTTGGCTACGATGTCAAAAAACAATTGTATGAAATATTTCATCGCTGAAAATCGGTAATTACAAGTCGTTTATATTTCCCAAATGGCAAAATGTGCAGGAATATTGTTCATGTACAACAAATCTCTATGATAGACATGATAGAGGAAATAAAGTTAAATAAGTGGGCGGTAATTTTTAACTTATCTTGCCAAATAAGGTTGTTGTTATTTTATGAATGAAACTAGGTCATGAAACAGATGCGGAAATCGACGTCGATGGGATGTTTTAAGTAATGTGGACAAGTCGGACCGAATCCACTCAAACATTCTAAGAAGACAACTTTGACCGTTTGTCAGATATACTGAGGGTTTCATAAAATATTAGACTAACATGTCTAGCGGAGCCATTAATCTTTTGTTTGTGCATTGGGGTCTATTTAGGGGTATTTGGAGGGGCCTGCAGAAGGGAGGGGTTTACTATAGAACCCTATGGGATTTTATTTTTTTTAATTTTCAAATGACTTTTTCTCGAAAACAGTAAGTGATAGACACATGCAGTCTTCCCAACCCCCTTCAATTTGAAAATGTACATTCATCTTGTAAACCGTCACGCTCCCCACCCCTAAACAATATATATACTTGTAAGGGACAATAAAAGAAATCAAATGAAAATAATTTGGGGGAGTCCTCGGTGTCGTCCCACCCTCTCCTGTTTGAGAACTTGGAAATGGTTGAGATCCCCACCCCTTAACCATATATATTCATGTATGGGACAATAAAACAAATCAAATGAAATATAGGGAGAGTCCCTGGGGTCACCCTACCCCTCCTGTTTTAGAACTTTTAAACGGTCTAGATCCCCACCCCTAAACCATATATATTCATGTATGGGACAATATAACAAATCAAATGAAATATATGGGAAGTCCCTGGGCTCAACCCAACCCCTCCTGTTTGAGAACTTGGAAATGGTTGAGATCCCCACCCCTGAACCATATACATTCATGTACATGTATGGGACAATAAAACAAATCAAATGAAATATAGGGGGAGTCCCTGGGGACACCCCACCCCCTCCTGTTTGAGAACTTGTAAACAGTCAAGATCCCCACCCCTAAACCATATATATTCATGTATGGGACAATAAAACAAATCAAATGAAATATATGGGGAGTTCCTCGGGTCACCCCACCCCCTTTTGTTTGAAAAATTGGAAATGGTCGAGATCCCCACCCCTTAACCATATATATTCATGTATGGGACAATAAAACAAATCAAATGAAATATAGGGGGAGTCCATGGGGACACCCCACCCCCTCTTGTTTGAGAACTTGTAAACAGTCAAGATCCCCACCCCTTAACCATATATATTCATGTATGGGACAATATAACAAATCAAATGAAATATTTGGGGAGTCCCTTGGGTCACCCCACCCCCTCCTGTTTGAGAACTTGGAAATGGTCGAGATCCACCCCACCCCCTCCTGTTTGAGAACTTGGAAATGGTCGAGATCCCCACCCCTAAACCATATGTATTCATGTATGGGACAATATAACAAATAAAATGAAATATAGGGAGAGTCCCTGGGGGTCACCCCACCCCTCCTGTTTGAGAACTTGTAAACAGTCAAGATCCCCACCCTTAACCATATATATTCATGTATGGGACAATATAACAAATCAAATGAAATATATGGGGAGTTTGGGGAGTTCCTCGGGTCATCCCACCCCCTCCTGTTTGAAAACTTGGAAATGGTCGAGATACCCACACCTAAACCATATTTATTCCTGTTCATCATTTCAAAAAGATTTGAATGACATACAGGGTCAATCTCCTAGGTGTCACATATGCATATCACTTTACTAGACCAAACCAATATGAACTGGACTTTGCCCAATGTCAGGAGACCATGGGAATGACGAATTATGGGGGCTTTGTTTGGGAGACTTCGTACATGTAACGGCATCCTGTTACAATTATTTCTTGTTTATTTAAAAATTTTATTGATGCAAAAAATTAGTCTAGGTTAACATGGTTAATTGAATTTACTTTAATTATTTATTAAATTATTTCTGGGCCTATAATAATTTTCATTTATGGCCCATTTTAAAGAAAACATATAAATCTTTCAAGCAGTGTAAAGCCCGAGAATGTTTGACCAACTGTTTTATAATCACCTGTCATTTTATTCCAAACTTGGTATGGAGTAACATCCTGCACTTGGGGGTGAAGATGGGGGTCATTTACATTGATATATGAGTTGCTTTTGAAAACCTTGATGAAATATTAATTAATTTGCCTTAATAATCAATTCATTTAATGAACATAAATGTACAATATACGAATGTTTAATGTTTGTTCTTTCAAATCTTAAAAAAATTGAAGCAACACTGCCACAGTTTTCATAATTACGTTTGCCTTGGTTTTTGGATAACTGCCTACAGCGCTTACAGTGCTTTGATTAATATTTTTTCCACAATTTCATCATCATAACAAATCAACAACACATAACATATTATCAAAATGGCTTCAAGCACACACACAGCATATTTACGATTAATTGTCACAATTTAAAGTATAAAAACAACAAATGCAAATAATCACATGTTGTCAAATTATTAATTTTATATATGGACATTGATGGATATTATCAAGGACATATGTAAGTTATATATACATCCTTGATATTATGTATTTGTTTCAAAAATGTAATCAATTAAACTTAAATTAAATGTTATTTCAGTTTGATCCAGCAATACAGAGGTTTAAAGCTTTGAAAGCAACACAGTATGATCATTTTCGTCCAACCAAGAAAACTGGAATCATTGGTGGTATATTTCTAGGAGTTATTCCTGCAGTGTTATTTAGTTATGTTTATTACACAAGGGTATGTATCAAAAGATGATTCTCTCTGCTAAGTACTGTGTGTGCTGCTTTTGTTTATATAAAAAAATGTTAGACTCATTATCCAGATTTTAACAAATACATGTAATGTCATGTGATAAATGATAATTCTTTAAATTTTAACCAAACAACTTTATAAAATAAGTAGATGGTATGATTGCCAATGAGATATTAAACTATCTACATTGTAAATGAAGGGGATTTAATTATTTAGCAACTATAGGTCTACATACAGCCTTACACAACGAGCAAACCCATACCTTATAGTTGGCCATAAAAGGCCCTGATATGACAAAATGTAAAACAAATTTTGAAAATGAAAAAAAACCAACAGCCTAATTTATGACAAAACAATAAACAAAAACAAAAATGACAAACAGTAACCAAGGACAACCACTGAATCAATTACAGGCTCCTGACATTGGACAGACACATAGAATGTGGCAGGGTTTAACATGTTTGTGAGCTCCCAACCCTCCCCTAACCAGTGACAGTGGAATAACAGTACTAGTACAATATAAGAACAAAAACTTTAAAAATCTGTTGGAAATGACTCATATAAGATTGACACAAAGCACAAAACAACAGCTGACTCAAAGACAATAGACACAAACTGCTGATCTAAGAGTACTAGTAGTTACTGAAAGCTAGTTCAAAGCCTAAAAAAACTTCTAAATAAATCATGTGTTCCTATGTTCATATGGCATTTTATAAAATATAAATACTGTAGATTCAATCATAATTTATTGTTTTTGTCGAGCCTTCGACTTTTGTCGGAAAAGCGAGACTTAGCGATCCTACATTCCGTCGGCGGCGTCCACAAATATTCACTCTGTGGTTAAAGTTTTTGAAATTTTGATAACTTTCTTAAACTATCCTGGATTTCTACCAAACTTGGACAGAAGCTTGTTTATGATCATAAGATAATATTCAAAAGTAAATTTTGTAAAAAAAAAATCCATTTTTTCCGTATTTTACTTATAAATGGACTTAGTTTTTCTGCCAGTTAACATTACATTCACTCTGTGGTTAAAGTTTTTGAAATATTAATAACTTTCTTAAACTATCCTTGATTTCTACCAAACTTGGAAAGAAGCTTGTTTATGATCATAAGATAGTATCCAGAAGTAAATTTTGTAAAAAAAAAAATCCATTTTTTCCGTATTTTACTTATAAATGGACTTAGTTTTTCTGCCAGTTGACATTACATTCACTCTGTGGTTAAAGTTTTTAAAATTTTAACAACTTTCTTAAACTATCCTGGATTTGTACCAAACTTGGACAGAAGCTTGTTTATGATTAAAAGCTAGTATCTAGAAGGAAATATTGTTAAAACTTTGTTAAAATTTTTTCTGTATTTTACTTATAAATGGACTTAGTTTTTCTTCCAGTTAACATTACATACAGTCTGCAGTTTAAGTTTTTAAAACATTTATTAGATTCATAAACTATCCTGGATTTTTTACCAAACTTGAACAGAAGCTACTTACAATCAAAAGATAGTATAGAGAGGAATATTTTTATTAATTTTTTTCCTCATTTTTGTTGAGCCTGCGATTAACAGCAAAAGTAGGCGAGACACTGGGTTCCACGGAACCCTTACAAATTTTTTGGTATAGTAAACTTTACAGTTTACACAACAATGTAAGTAATCAAAATGTGCAGACTTATCTGATGAACAAAATTACAAACTTGATTGTACTCATTTTTATGCCTCCGCCGCAGTGGAAGGTGGAATTAATTGTTACCCTTGTCCATCTATACATACGTCCTGAAATAGGTTTCCGTTCTCTAACTTTAGTTTGCCTCAACCAAATGTTATGAAACTTAAACACTGCTTATTACCACAAAACACAGATCAAGTTTGAATTTGGGTGGCTTCACTTTTACCTTTCTACAGTAATGCCCTTTTACAAATGGAAAAATTGTTTAACTTTTCGTTTCCATTCTCTAACTTAAGTTTGCCTCAACCAAATGTTATGAAACTTATACACAATGCTTATTGCCACAAAACTCAGATCAAGTTCGAATTTAGGTGGCATCACTTTAACCGTTCTTGAGTTATGTCCCTTTATAACATTATATGCAAGTGGGGGCATCATCATCTGTGTCCCATGGACACATTCTCCATTTAGTTGTTTTTCTTTACCTATAGAAAATTGTAAATGTTTATTATGAAATAGAATCTATGATAAAATAAGATATATGACAATTATCATGACCATACAACATAAAATGATAAAATAATGTCAATAGATATGTGGTTTCCTCAGATGATCTTCAGTGATGGACAAATACTCAGTTTAACAGAAATAAAATATGAATAGAAAGCTGCAGCCCCAAGAAATCTATTTTTATGCCCCTGCCGTAGCGCAGGGGGCATTAAGTTTTACCCTTGTCCGTCTGTACGTCCCAAAATTGGTTTCCATTCTCTAACTTGATTTTGCCACAACCGAATGTTATGAAACTTATACACAATGCTTATTACCACAAAACACAGATCAAGTTTGAATTTTAGTGGCGTCACTTTTACTGTTTTAGAGTCATGCCCTTTACAAATGGAAAAATTGCTGAATTTTTCGTTTCCGTTCTGTAACTTTAGTTTGCCTCAACCAAATATTATGAATCTTATACACAATGCTTATTACCACAAAAAACAGATCAAATTTAAATTTTGGTGGCGTCACTTTTACCGTTCTAGAGTTATGCCCCTTTACAAATGGAAAAATTGCTGAATTTTTCGTTTCCGTTCTCTTACTTTAGTTTGCCTCAACCAAATGTTATGGAACTTATGTACAATGCTTATTACCACAAAACACAGATCAAGTTTGAACTGTTGTGGCGTCACTTCTACCTTTCTAGAGTAATGCCCCTTTACAAATGAAAAAAATTGCTGAATTATCGTTTCCGTTCTCTTAAGTTTGCCTCAACCAAATGTTATGAAACTTATACACAATGCTTATTACAACAGAACTCAGATCAAGTACAAATTTGGGTAGCGTCACTTTTACTGTTCTAGAGTTATGTCCCTTTATAACATTAAATGCAAGCAGGGGGCCATCATCTGTGTCCCATGGACAAATTCCCCATTTATGTTATTATGACAAACAATGAAACTACATATTGAGGTACCCTCATAATAACCTCTGGGATAAATGAATTAAAATAACTCTAATTAGGTAAATGATTTTGCAAATACATATAGATCTTATAATCTTGACAATAATATTAAGGGCATAGGATACAGTTACAGGGGAGGTAATGACATTGCTAATGTAAAATGTTATTTTTTTCTACGTCAAAATGTGACATATTTGAGAAGGATGTATTTTTTTGCTGATTTTAATCATTAGCTTGAAGAAGAGTACATGGACCCCTCTTTTTTAAAATGACATTTAGCTTAATTATGTATGAAGATTTTTTTGTTCCAATTTTTATGAACAAATTGATGATTTTTTCATCCATTCACACAAATTTAGAGCATACTTGTGGAAATAAGATATTCTTCATGTTTTACAAAAATCCACTTGTGTTTATCTTTTGAAACAAAAAGGTTAGGTATGTCTGTCCAAAGGAAAGAAATGTCCCAAAACCTGAAATTTTGGGTAAATCTTTTAAAATTTCCACACCATTAATATTTATCTCTAAAAGTAACACATGAAGGTATTGCATTTGAATTGTTTTCCTTACCTTTATGAATTGACTAGGTGAAAAATAGATTGTATGCAAATTTTCATAAAAAAATCACTGTGGGATTCCCTTTAGTCAATGCTAATTATAATTATTATACTTGTCAAAATTACCAAGGATTAATAAAACATTTGATTTTTTACATGAACATGTGAGTAGAGTTACATTGCAGATGTAGGGTAAATGTAAATGGGACAGCCATCCAATGATACAAGTTAACCATAATTGACCACTTTAATTTTACCATGCATTTCTTTTCATATGATAGGAAAATATTTTTTATCCTTGCAGCAAGAATTTGAAAGAAAATGCAGGGCTGGAGAAATATCAGCGAAGGACAGAACTTGGAAATATGTTTATTAATTTTTGTAAATTTGACAGTAAATATTCTACATTAGATTTTGTGTATGACACTACTTGAAGTTGATTGTTTGTATGAAATGAGATACAACTCTCAAAAACAAGATGGCATTTTTGTTTGTGTTATTCTGCCTTCACGCAGGTGGCCTTGGTATCAATTAAGTATTGGTTATCCATCTGTCCCCAATGTGTTAAGTATTGTTTATCCATCTGGCCACAATGTGTTAAGCTCCATATTTCAAGTTTACCTTCCAATTATATTGATGTTTCACCAATACACCATTACCTATAATTGATGTTTCACCAATACACCATTACCTATAATTGATGTTTCACCAATACACCATTACCTATAATTGATGTTTGGGTTACTTTGAGTATGTTGCAACCACTTTTTTGGCCACTTGAATTTGAAAAGGTACAATGTATTATAAATCTATCAAATGACAGGTTTCATCTTACCTTGACCTAATTTTCATAAATCATTGATATTTGTTAAGTTTATCTGATAGTTAATCCTTTATCTTAAAGACTTGATATAATCAATCATGATCAGTAAAGCAGGCAAGTTGTGATGTCTTGTTATCTCATTTACAGCTAGTCAGGGGTACTACTTGTACAAGTAATCTTTATTTACTTGAAGAAGTAAATAATAATATACTTGTATAAGTAAATTATAAAGTTTGAATAATCTCCCCTTAATTTTCTCAAAAATTTACTTGTATAAGTAAATTTTTTTTACAATCCTGAAAAAGTCTCAAGTTTTGAGATGTAAAAACATGCCTTTAACAATTTTTCTCAGGTTAGCTCATAATTTTTTATTAGAGTTCAATGTTTCATCTCATTAATTCAACAAAGAAATTAATTGCGCAAAGATCTTAAGTATTTGCACAAGGCCTTCAAAAATTGCCCCTTGGGGGCTTGTAAATGAGCAGTGTTCTGAAGATAACAGACAAATGAGATTTTCATTGTCCATGAAACTACACTTAAATGATTAGTAAAGACATCTACAAAGGACAGACAATTAAAAATTCTATTAGAGCAAAGAAGTCCTAAGAAATTCAAGAAAAGAAGATAGGATGACTTTTTTACTTGTATAAGTAAAAAAATCTGAATGTCTAAGGGACATAACTAAGCCAAAAAGTAATTTACCTATACAAGTAAATAAAATACACTTGTATAAGTATCCTACAAATTTAATTATATAAGTATATTAATATTTACTTCTTCAGGTAAATAAAAATTACTTGTACAAGTTGTACCCCTGACTGACAGCCTCTTGAATTCAGAAATGCAATTAAATCTATATTTGGAACCTTATTCATGTGAAAAAAATGAAGGCAGATAAGATGTATTTGCTGGAAAATGCTACTAAAAAACATGAAACACAGGCCACTTGAGCTTGGCTTAAGAACACACTAGAGTTTGCCATCACTGCATCTGTAGTCCATCTGTCACAAACATTTGGAACCTCTCCTAATCCATAAATGACATCAAGCTTAACAAAATTGCAGGCTTTTTCGGGTACCCATATTAATCATATATGCCATGGGGTATTTTATGGAACCATGATGCTGATAAGCCAAACATGAGGATAATAGTTTTAACATTTGAGCTTATACTAGGAAATAAGAAGAATAAACTTAACAAATTCTCAACCATTTGAAACCTGATATGACAAAAATATTGATGTGTATTTCTCACATAGTGTTGAGACTAAGGATTTACAGCCAAACAATGTGGCCACAAGTAAGAGACTGTTTCATATTGGAGCCTGTGTTAAATATGAAAAAAAATATTGGATGAAAACTGCTGATCCAAATGTGGCAGAAAGTTTACTTATAATGTAATGACTGAGTTCTGTATTTGATTTCAACTTGTCAAACAATATAGCAACAAACATTAGTAACAATAAAACATGAGCTCAAATTGAGATGTTAAACCGACATAAGAACATTCATGCAAGTAATCATGTACAAAAAATGCAACACGCATATACATAAATCATACAAAGCACATATGAAACACAAAACACACATTTAAAATAATTCAAGCATCATACAAAGGACTTATGAAACACATACAGCACATTTAAAAAACATATTTATAAACAATCTATAAAAACATGCAAAGTAGAAAACCTTAAGCACACAGAAACATAAGCAGTACAAGCAAAGCAAATAAAAAATTGTGCATTAAAAGTTGCACACATAAAGCAGAAAGTATTAAATACAATTATGCCTTGTGCTTATAATGTGTTTCAAGTATTCAACTTCAAGAGAACTGGAAAGGAGTACACGAAAGACTATTTTTCCATGGGATATGCAATAAAATAGTATATCTGAAATATTATATATATTTTATTTAACATTTAAATCTGATATAACAGATGGTGCTTATAGTTATTTATTGTTTCGAAACTGTTTTAATCTAATTCTTCTCGTGTGTAAACTTGGTATTTTAGCTTTTAACAACAGATTAACATGGTTAAACAAATTTAGATATGTTGTTTCCTGTGACTAAATGAAGGTCAAGTTCAATTTTCACGATTTTAGCTTTTCTCGTTGTTGAGTTATAGCCCTTTCCCAAGAATTCAATTCTTGATGAAGTACTTAATAATTACTACATTTCTCTTCAAATGGAAATAACTCATTTTTTTAAAAAGATTTTTAAAAGACATTGTATTAATGATAAATGACATTTTGGATTTTTTTGTTTGAAGAATTTTGTGGTAGGTTTGTTTATTATTCGTGTAAACTAATTTTCTGAATGCTATATATTTAATTTTTTTTTATGAAGTGAACTCTTTTAATTAGATAATAATCTATTTTTATTAAAGGGTATATTTCATTACATTACATTGTGTAGATAAAGTTGTTGAGTTGCAGATCTATATTAGTTTGTAACAAATAAAAGAAAAATATTTGGAACTATTAATTATATTTGATTATAATTTGAAAATAGATATACATTGTGTTACATCATATCTAATTTTAGAGAACTATGTTTGCTTTATTAGTTAAACAATTTCTGTTCAAAGGAAATAACTCAAACTTGTTCCATGAACCAGTAATGATAACATTACGGTAAGTATATGGATTCTGTTCAATTAATTTTAGTCATTAGTTGTCAAAATTTCTTTATAACTATTTTTATTTAAGTCATGTGTGTTATGAAGGTAGATGTCACAGTTGGTATGTGGTATTTTATTTTTGTTGTGTGTGTTAATGTTTAATTTTTACATGATCCTGTTTGGGGGTTCAGATTTGCAAATATCATTTTCATTATTAATCAGATAATAATCTATTTTAAATATTCAATCACAATACAAATTCAGAGCTGTTTTAAGCTTAAATGTTGTGTCCATACTTGCTCAACTGTTCAGGGTTCGACCTCTGCAGGAAAATTCGGTTTGCTGTCACTCGACAGCCTCTTGTTTTTATATGACCTGAACATTATTGCCACCGTATAATGGTATGACATTGTCCGATCACATTTTGTTTCCAGATAATAACTTGAGTATAAGTGTATGGATCTCTTTGAAATTGTACCACAAGGTTCCATACAACAAAAAGTAGTTGGGATTGATTTTGGGGGTTATTGTCCTAACTATTAGGAATAAGGGGCCAAAAACAAGCATTTTTCTTGTTTCAGGACAATAACTTGTGTATGAGAGTATGGATCTCTATGAAATTGTATCACAAGGTTCCATGCCTGAAAAGGAAGGTTGGGATTGATTTTTGTAGTTATGGCCCAAACTGTTTAGGAATTAGGGGCCAAAAAACAAGGATGTTCTGGTTTCCGGACAAGAATTTGAGTATAAGTCTATGGGTCTCTATGAAATTGTACCACAAGGTTCCATACCAAAAACGGAAGGTTGGGATTGATTTTGTGGGTAATGGCCCTAACCATTTAGAAAAAAGGGGCCAAAAACAATACTTTTCTTATACTTTGTATAAATTGCTTATTTCTTGATCAATTTCAATGGGGTTTAATTCAAAGTCTTGAATTCTTGGAGTTCTTTAATATGCTGAATCTAACTGTGTATTGAGATTTTGGATTTTGGGCCCTGCTTTTAAATTGGTTTCATCAAAAATTTAATGATTGAGGTTCTTTGATATGTTGAATTTAACTGTGTATTTAGATTTTTAATTTGGGCCTCATTTTCAAATTGGTCCACCTAAAGGTCCAAAGGGTCCATTAACTTTGTTTAATTTCAACAAAAAATGAATATATGGGATTCTTTGATATGCTGAATCTAACCGTGTATTTAGATTTTGGATTAATGGCCCTGATATCAAATTGGTCCACATTGAGTTCCAAAGCATCCAAAATTAAAGTTTGTTTGATTTCATCAAAAATTGAATTCTTGGGGTCCTTTGATATGCTGAATCTAACCATGTATTTAGATTTTGGATACTGGACCATAATAGGTAAATGTCCAATTTAAAATTTTTAAAAAAGTTCTTAGACCACATTCATTCTGTGTCAGAAAACTATGCTGTGTCAAATATTTTATGACAATCCAAATTCAGAGATGAATGAAGCTTGAATTTTGTGCCCATACTTGCCCCAACTGTTCAGGGTTTGACCTCTGCGGTCATATATAGCATTTTATTTTGTGTTATACTTGTATAAATATACTAGATACAAAATTTGTTTACGATTTACTATCAATTGCTAATTAACTTTCCACAGCAGTCACCGATAATATATATAGATATAAAAATAAGGAGATGTGGTATGATTGCCAATGAGACAACTATCCACCAAAGTTAAAATGAAGTGGATGTAAGCAATTATAGGCAACTACCGCACAGCATTCAACAATAAATAAAATCCATACCGTATTGTCGGCTATAAAAGGCCCTGACATGAAAAATATGAAACAATTCAATTGAGAAAACTAAAGGCCATAACAGTCAACCAACTTGTGAAGGCATATGTAAAATTTTCGAAGGGATGATTTCAACTTCAACACTTGGAACTCTTGGTTTAATAGCTTCCTTGTGAGCAACAACACTATATCCAGGAAATCACGACAGGAATGCAAGCTCTGAAGTATCGTATCAAATACAATTAGAGAACAATTATTTTCCAAAATTAGTGAAATAGTTCCCTCTTGTTTAAATATGACTAATGAGGCTGTACTTTAATCTATATTTCGAAATACAGTGTTGTCAAACTTAAATATGATATACCTTTGTTCTACGAAAACGTTAAATGAGTAGTTGAAGGAAAATAAATGTGTTTTAAAAAGTTTGAACTCGTCACATGCTTCGTTGAATAGGTACCCCTCTAGCCGCCGATTCTGACGATTTGAAGAGAAAACACCAATTAAGGATCATAATCAGTCCTAAATAGTAGCTACATTATTAGGACTCAGTATCACAAAACTTTACTTGTCAGCAAAACGTAGAATATAATAAAAATAAGAAGAATTTGACCCTATACATGACTTCACATTTGTTTTTTCCACCGCTTCGGGGGTACCTATATCCGGTGGTGATGCTACACGGTGTGTAACATTAGACTGATAAAAGTCTCTATTACAACTTAGTGACTAAGTTCAACTTGGTTAAATCATCTTTTTATGGCAAGAACACCTGCTTGTGGTAAAAGATCGTTCATATAAGCTGCAGCTACTCTGTGGAACGGTGTTCCGGACGAAAACAGTTTTCTCAATTCAAAACTTATATAACAATAAGGAGATGTGGTATGATTGCCAATGAGACAACTACCCACCGGAGTTCAAATGACGAAGATATAAGTCAATCTAGATTCGGCGAAACAATCGGTCGGTAAGAAATGACATGCTACTGTTCTGTATGCATTCAATTCGACGATAATTATACTGAGTGTTTGCTATTATACTCAGCTCTACGGCTCTTTTTATTTAGATGCTATCTAATGCTTATTTTAAAACTTTTCTATTTTGACCTCTGCTGTCGGGTGTACCAGTGGCAGTCATTTTCCCGACCTTCTTCCCGGACGGCATTTATAAAAGGAACTACCTCCTATTATATTTATTGTTGATTTGTTCTCGTCTTGAACATGCTTGAAATATTTGCCACTGGATGTTAAGCAACCATCAATCGATAAATCATTCTATCTGGTGTACCAGACAGTTGCCCATGGAAGGTGCTTGCCACATGGGCCACTGTTTGATATTTGTCAAACACTACTATCTGATAAGTTTTCTAGAGATCCATTTTATTTGCTTCAGTGATGAATAACTGGGGGTCTGGATGGGGTGGTCTTCATTTCTGTATTCTTTTAATTTTGGGGCTATTTTTCTCTATTCTTTATTAATTTGCCCATTATTCTCTATTCTTTATGTTTTTGCACCCAGTTATTCGATTCGATTCTTTATAGTTTTTGGTCCGTTTTTCTGGTTTATTCACGGTTCTCCAATATTTGAATAATCCAACTCCCGCTTAGTAAAGACCCGTCTAAATTGCATTTAATTGATAAATTCAACAACACTTATCGTTATCTTGATGATATTTGTTCGTTATATAATCAAGAATTTTCTAAATATACTGCCGAAATTTACCCAAAGGAACTTACTTTAAATAAATCAAATATAAATGATTATTACTGTCCTTTCCTAGATATAGATATTTCAGTTTTACACGGGAAACTCTACACTAAAATTTCCGACAAAAAAGGGACGTTTTTTCGTTCCCTATTATTAGTTTTCCTTTTTTGGACGGTGATATTCCTTTGACACCATCTCACGGTATTTATATATCACAACTCGTTCGCTATGCCCGTGCTGTTGTGACGTTTTGGATTTCAATTATCGTAATCTATGTATTACTGGTAAATTATTAAGTCAGGGATTTCGTTACCACAAATTACTTAAAACCTTTACTAAATTCTTCCATAGATATAAAGATTTGGTTTAGAAGTTTGGTTATACCTGTAGAAAACTTATTTTTAACGGGATAGCACATCCTAATTTTTACGGAAATGTTGTTTACCGAGCCCGGAAATTTAGATACGATCCGGGTAAACTTATCGATCCTTTAAATAAACTTATTCTAAAAGGTTGCCTATTCAACACTATAATTAGATCTTTGAATATTGTTTTTATTGGTAATAATATTGATTTTGTTATCAATAAATTAAAATCAAACTAAATATTATTTTTCTATATACATATACACATTCTTGGCTCTACAATCTGTTTATACCTGTATCTTGACATTGCACAAGGTCAAGTTTTTCTCCGACTGTTAATGACGTCTTTACACTAATCACATTGGATGTTGGATGTGTACTGATTGATATTGTAGTCTTAGATGCATGATTTTTTTTATAAGTTGTTTTTGGCTTTGAACTAGCTGTCAGTAACTGCGAGTACTTTCAGATCTGTACATAGTGTCTTTTTGGCGTCGGGATATATAAGTACCCTGCCACGTCCACTCTGTGTTTTTGTTAAATGTATTTCTCTTTGGATCGATCTGCAATGAGTTAAGCCCTTTTCAACTGATTTTTATAGTTTGTTATTATGTTGTACTGTTACACCACTGTCCCAGGTTAAGGGGAGGGTTGGCGCGCCTTCAAACTAGTAAAACCCCGCCACATTCTGTATGTGCCTGTCCCAAGTCAGGAACCTATAATTCAGTGGTTGTCGTGTGTTGCTGTATATCATATTTGTTTTTCGTTCATTATTTTGTACATAAATCAGGCCGTTAGTTTTCTTGTTTGAATTGTTTTACATTTGTCATTTCGGGGCCCTTTATAGCTTACTATGCGGTATGGGTTTTACTCCGGCATTGTTGAAGGCCGTACGGTGACTTATAGTTGTTAATTGCTGTGTCTTTTGGTCTCTTGTGGAGAGTTGTCGCATATATAATCTAAAATAAAAATGGCGGATTGAAAAAGTCTTTTGTTAAGTTAACAATTTTTTAGTAATAATCGAAAATAAAAGTATCGTTAACCGCACCTTAAATCAATAATTTACGTGTACAAATATGTTATATATATATTCTTTATTCCAAAAGCAATACAGCTAATATGTATCAAGTACAATCAATATTACATTGAATATAGTAGGCATCACAAGAGGAGACATATGATATATATGTCTCCGACATCACTTCGTACAATATAGTAATTCCTTGATACATCTCACTGCAAAAAATAAAACATAATTCAACAATTTTGAAGCATGATATACACATTTTAACAATTACGAATGCTTTCGGCAATACCGTGATGATAAATACTTTCCAAAATTATGAAGTTCTTTTATATTATAAACAGATAACAATTATATAAGTTAAATACTGATGGATTTCTCCAGTAATAACATCATCAGTACCGAAAATTTAGACTGGCACTCCTGAGTAGTTTTCTTAGTGAGAGACAATCATAATCATTAATATTATATATTTTGCAGCTTCTTGCAGAACAGATTTTTATATATACACGGGTTTACTTATTGTTGAAGGCCGAACGGTGACCTCAGTATAATTGTTAATTTCTGTCAAAGGATAATTTACCAGAGAGATTACCCTGTCATCACGACAAAGATTGAAGATTGAATTGGTCTCTTGTGGAGAGTTGTCTCATTGGCAATCATACTACATCTTCTTATTATTATGTGATGCCCGAGACATATAAAACCATATGCATATCTCTGATGATACTTTGTTTTAATATTTTCATCCGAATTTATGTTCATATGTTTAAACTCTATGACTGTCCATTGTTAAAAACCCGGAATAGTTGAGTCGTTCCAAGAATTTTCTGAAATTAAGTCGTATTGATCATCAATACGCTTTTAATATAGGAATCTCATTTATAAAGCACCTTTAGGAAAAATAAATATTTTGCCTCGTCTGAGAAAATGGATTTTGAATATAAACAGAAAACGAATGCAGAAAGAGCGAAAGTAGAGGACCTTTTCGATTACGAAGGATGCAAAGTTGGACGAGGAACTTATGGACATGTGTATAAAGGCAAAAGGAAGAACAGGTTAAAGTGTGTTTGAAGCATATGTCTCGCACACTAAGTCGTCGATAATTTTGTATTTTTAAGAATTATTTCTTTACTTTTGAGTATTTATCACCATCATGTCCATAGACGTCTATCATGCATCTTGTCATAAGTAATAACCTAAGAATACAGATTATTTAAATGTCAATATTTACTATTCATGCTATTTAGAAAATCATATTTTAATCTTTTATAATCATGACAATAAAACAATGATTAGAATAAATCGTTCTGCCAAATTCTGGTCACACACACAGCAGTGTTTCTTTTTCGTTTCTATTAAAACAAATTGATAGTTCTGCAGTTTCTTTTATGATTTATATAGAAGGTGTCACATTCTGTTTCAATGTAAACAAACATTTATGAATTATGTTCTCTACTGGTTCTATATTTGCCACTGGACATTAAGCAACCAACAATCAATCAATCTACTGGTTCTAAATGCTTTCAAAGTTAGAAAGGCTTTTGAAAGGTTAATGATGAACAAGGAAACCTTTATTAAAACATTTTGATATCCATTCAGATTGGGTAATTGAAAAAAGTTGCTGTACATGTACATGACCCTATAAATTACAATTTCTCATGTAATGAGGGGGGGGGGGGGGTAGGAGGGGTACTGATCCCGAAATCCCGGGCTTAAAAACATGGAATCCCGAGGTCCCGAATTTTAAAAAATTATAATCCCGACATCCCGAAATTCGAAAAAAAGAATTCCCGGATCCCGAAAGGATCAATCCCGAAATCCCGAGCTTAAAACACCTGATCCCGGAGTCCCGATAAAGGTCCTACCCCCCTTGTAATTGAATATAATGTGTAATCCTGTCAAGTTTCAATTACATGTTATTGTAGTTTAATTAATTACATTTGGAAAAAGGTGTGTAATTCCAATAATATTTCAATTACTTTCAGTTACATCCATTGTTTAGAGAATTTATAAAAATATAATACCAGAAAATTCTATTCTGATCTTTTAATCAAGATTACTATGTTGTGTTTTGTATACTGTCATGACTGTTTGTCTTTTTCTTCTACTTTTTTTGACATTGCCCTTGTCAGTTTATTTTCGACTTATGAGTTTGAATGGCCCTTTGGTATCTCTCTAGTACAGATAGATTTTCCTTAGTTCATGTTATCCTAAAAATCACCATTAGGAATAGCATTGATTATAGGAATCCCAAATATGGCAATATTTGAATATACATTTTTGTACATTGTGAAATAATATGAATATGATTTATTTCAGGAATTTCAGGAATAAAACTACAAGCCTACATGGCCTAACACAATGAACGCATTATGGTCACTCATATACTAATAATTACTTCATGGACTTCTTTATCCTAGGTCTTTTTATTTATAAATTTAAATTATCCTATGCTATGAAAAAAGTAAAATAACAAAAATACCGAACTCCAAGGAAATTCAAAACGGAAAGTCCCTTATCAAATGTCAAAAGCTCAAACACATCAAACGAATGGAAAACAACTGTCATATTGGGATTTCCTTATGTAGAAAATGGTGGATAAAACCTGGTTTTATAGCTAGCTAAACCTCTCACTTGTATGACAGTCGCATAAAATTCCATTATATTGACAACAATGTGTGAACTAAACAAACAGACATAATACAATGTACTAAGGTAAAAATGTCAAAAATAGGGGTACAGCAGTCAACATTGTGTTATAATCTTAATCACTATAGAATCAAACAAATAAGTCAACAAAGAAAAACAAAATGGCTCATAGACAAAGCACATAAGCAAAAATGAAAGACAAGAATACAAAAAATGACCATAGCACAATAACACAATGGCGGGATATATAAGTACCGACCCACGCCGAAAGGATATTACCAAAAATGGACTAAACAGTAAAGGTTAATAATTTACCAAGACAAATAAAAGAACACTATAACATGTAATTAAGATGATAAACAACGTCAGTACCTAGAATCTATACTTCAAGACCATCATGTATTATTCGTGAAGTTAGTACGGAATATTTATCAAATAGGTCTTGGTATCTTTCGTTGAAGTTTTTGAGAAAATGTATAAAAATATGATGTATGAGATTTTATTACATTTTGAAAGATTTAAAGAAAAACAACATGAAATTAATACCATTTGTGTGATTTGGAAATAAGTTCTATATCTGTCAGGTTTGTAGCTATAAATTTTGAAATAGCAATTTCAGATTCAAAATATTTTTATAACTTGAATTTCAGTACTGATGGAAGAGAATATGCCTTAAAACAGATAGAAGGTACAGGAATTTCTATGTCAGCATGTAGAGAAATTGCTGTAAGTATATTTTATCTTCCACTGCATAATTTATCTATATGTCTTGTCTGACCTACAGTCAGGGGTACTACTTGTACAAGTAATTTTTATTTACTTGAAGAAGTAATTATAATATACTTATATAAGTAAATTTGTAGGATACTTATACAAGTGTATTTTATTTACTTGTATAAGTAAATTTTTTTTTGGCCTAGTTATGTCCCTTAGACATTCAGATTTTTTTACTTATACAAGTAAAAAAGTCATCCTATCTTCCTTTCTTGAATTCTTAGAACTTCTTTGCTCTAACAGAATTTTGAATTGTCTGTCCTTTGTAGATGTCTTTACTATTCATTTAAGTGTAATTTCATGCACAATGAAAATCTCATTTGTATGTTATCTTTAGAACACTGCTCATTTACAAGCCCCAAGGAGCAATTTTTGAAGGCCTTGCGCAAATACTTAAGATCTTTGCTCAATCAGTTTCTTTGTTGAATTAATAAGATGAAACATTGAACTCTTATCAAAAATTATGAGCTAACCTGAGAAAAATTGTTAAAGGCATGATTTTACATCTCAAAACTTGAGAATTTTTGTGGGATTGTAAAAAAAATTTACTTATACAAGTAAATTTTTCAGAAAATTAAGGGGAGATTATTCAAACATTATAATTAACTTGTATAAGTATATTTTATTTACTTCTTCAAGTAAATAAAGATTACTTGTACAAGTAGTACCCCTGACTGACCTATATAGCTACATAGCAGAATCTAGAATGATCAAACATCATTTAAAGAAAATAGGTCAGGAAAAAATATACTGGTAAAACATTCTGATACAACAGAAAAGTTAACAAAACTTGTTTTTGACCCTACTGGCAAGTTTTTATGCCCTTGCCCTAGCAGAGGGGACATTAAGTGTTACCCTTGTCCGTCTCGTCCGTTGCATACATCCCCAAAATTAGTTTTCCATTCTCTAACTTTAGTTTGCCTCAACCAAATGTTATAAAACTTATACACAATGCTTATTACCACAAAACACAGATCATGTTTGAAATTGGGTGGCGTCACTTTTACCGATCATGAGTTATGCCCCTTACTAAACATAAAAATTGCTGAATTTTTCGTTTCCGTTCTCTATAGTTTGCCTCAACCAAATGTTATGAAACTTATACACAATACTAACCACAAAACACAGATCAAGTTCGAAATTTGGTGTTTGGTGGCGTCACTTTTACCGTTCTTGAGTTATGCCCTTTATAAATGGAAAAATTGCTGAATCCGTTGTTTCCGTTCTCTAACTTTAGTTTGCCTCAACCAAATGTTATGGAACTTATGCTTATAATCACAAAACGATCTTAACTACGTGAATCCTGCATCTGTTACTGTATGCAGAAGTTGACTCATGCATATATGCTAGCGGGTGCATCTGTGGCCCATAGACACATTCTCCATTTATTTTTCTATCAAACTAGAAATTTAACCTCCTGGCTGACAAAACTTTTCTGTCAGAGATAAACTGATGGAATTTTGTTGTACATGTAGTGAAGATTCTTGTTGTTAGACAACTACCTCCATATGTGATGTTATGTCTAATCTTTATATTGCTGTACGCAGCTAAGACATTGTAATGGCTATTTATTTAAATTCTGTGCAAGACAAAAGCAAAAAGATAGAAAGAGCCAAATTGATATGGCTGGGTATTGATTGTTCTATGTATGTTTTAATGTTAATGTATACATGTAATATGTATGTCAATCAATATATGACACAATAATGAAATAGATTATTTTTATATAATACAAACAAAAAAAAAGAAGTTATTGACAATTATAGCAGACATTAACCAATTACAACCACTGGATAATTAATCTTCTGAATGTGGCAACATTAAACATATGTTTGTGAGCTGTCAACCCTCCCCTAACCTATGAATTTGGGGTAAAAATACAACATAAGAACAAATTAAAAATCCATTGAAAAGGGCTTAACTCATCAGATAGAGTTTTAAAGTAATTTTAAGAACTCTTCATGTGCACTGATAATTATTTTATCAGTTTGATGAATATTGACAATGATAGACATAATTATATTTGCAACTATCAACTTTTCTACTACCATGTACATGATGTAGGTTACTTTGTAATTTAAGTTTTTTGTAAGTAATATCCTTATTTCCCTCAAGAAAATAAAGAAGAGTCTATGATATTGCTGTTTTCAATTTGCACCAAAGCTGTCAATGCAATGCAAAAATATTTGTTTATGAGGTAAATAGTATTACATATTTACTTTCAGCTGTTGAGAGAGTTAAAGCATCCAAATGTTATCAGTCTACAGAAAGTTTTCCTGTCACACACAGACAGAAAAGTATGGCTACTGTTTGACTATGCAGAACATGATTTATGGGTAGGTTTTTAAAAAGATTGGAATTATTGTTCAAATTCTTTCCTAATGCATCTACTCACAAACCAGGATGTAGCCATGTACTAAATCTACATACACTCAAATATAGTTCCCTATACTCATGGTTCAAATTAGCGGTGGTCCGAGGTCCATGACCTTCCATTTACGGGTTCGGACCTTCCCACCAGTAGTTAGGTACACCCGACAGACTTTCGTATTTTACAGGTTAAAAAAGTTACAAAAGCAATTTGAATAAGAATATATGAAATCAAGAATAAAAATAATCTTGAAATATGCAACTTTACTGAAGGGAAACTAATGTATTTGCTTAAATTCTTCACAATTGAATCGATGTGTAGTCATGTGAACGATCGTCGTACAAGATCCCAGGAAACTCAAGAATATAATATTAAAACATAACCAGTAAACGGTATGAGTCTGTTTGAATTTGGAGTGACCCCTTCCAAAAGAAAACCTGATGAAACAGGGGATACAAAGGGGGTGATTGATGAAACGGCTTAACACAGCCCGAAAGATAGGATCTGACTAAAGACTAAAAATACGACAGGGAAAAACAAGAATGCAAATTTTTCCCACAAACAGTGAAAGGGAAAGTGCCCTGGTTCATTGGACAACAAAAATTAAAACTTGACCCCAGAAAAAATCGTGATGAAAAATAACCACCCAGCATCTATGTATCTTGCCAAAAAAAGTGATTAAAAGAATCTGACCCCAAGTTTGAAAAGGAAGTCGAGCTGTTATCTGGCACAAAGTTATGCCCGTGTTCTTAAGCAGCAATTGAAACCAAACCAATTATAAAGGTACAAAGTGTTATTTAACACAGCATATAGTGTTGGAAAAAGGGGAAGCCTTTTTCTGACTGAATTTATTTTAAAAATTCAGAAAATGTTATGGTAAGTATTTTCTGATTTTATAAATTGAATTTTCAATAAAAATTGGACCTTCTGAGAATAATGGAGGACCTTTAAGTATCTTTGGTCAAAGGTCCTGGACCTTCCATTGCTTAAAGTAAATTGAACTCCTGATACTTCTCTTGCCTAGTTAATATGCACTGTGAAAAAATTGTGTGTTATATTTTAAGAAAAGGTTATTCAAGTACAAAGTACATGTATGTATTTGTTTGTTAGTTAGGTCAATTTAGTCAGTAAGGGTATTGATAAAATACAAGTCTGATCGACAAATGTCACAATCAACTTAGAATTTGACCCAAAGGTGGAAATCTAATAGGAATCTATACTTCAACTAAGCCAATCATAATTGACCAAATTATCAAATGACAATGAACTATTTTATTAACTTATTTTGTTGCTGAACATTTTCAAAGACTCTTTCTGGAAAATGAATCAAAATTTGATATATAAAAAGTAATCCTACACCATCTACTGAAAAATCCTCCTTCCTGCCATATTAAAAATTAATGACATTTTATACATGTATAAACGGTGCATTTTTAAAATAAAAATATTCAAAGAATTCACCAAAATAAAAATTGTGTAGTTATATAATTGAAATAAAAATTTATCCTATACAACCAGTCACCTTCAGTGTCATATCTATGTTTTTTTGTATCAAAAGACATTTGAATGTTGATTCTTTTTGAAAATTTTATGCAGTACTATTTTGCCTGTATGTTTTATTCCACTTAAATTTTGAAAATGTTGGTAAATAGTCAGACCCTTATGAAACTATGTATCAATTTAGTTGTACTGCACTTTGAATTTTATCAAACCCTGACTGTCTTTGTAAATTCAAGAGGAAAAAGAAAAAAAATATGTTGTTACTATGAAAAACGTTTATTGGTATGTCTGTGTATTTGAAATAGAATCCATTCTTAGTTTAAACCATTGATAACTGCTTTTCATTTAAATTTATTTTCAGCATATAATAAAATTTCATAGATCAGCAAAAGCAAACAAAAAACAGATAGATGTACCAAAAAATATGGTGAAATCTTTGTTGTTCCAAATCCTTGATGGGATACATTATCTTCATGCTAACTGGGTATTACACAGAGATCTGGTGAGTATGTACAAGACAGACAATCTTATTGTAGTTTGTTACACAGAGATCTGGTGAGTATGTACAAGACAGACAATCTTATTGTAGTTTGTTACACTGAGATCTGGTGAGTATGTACAAGACAGACAATCTTATTGTAGTTTGTTACACAGAGATCTGGTGAGTATGTACAAGACAGACAATCTTATTGCAGTTTGTTACACAGAGATCTGGTGAGTATGTACAAGACAGACATTCTTATTGTAGTTTGTTACACAGAGATCTGGTGAGTATGTACAAGACAGACAATCTTATTGTAATTTGTTACACAGAGATCTGGTGAGTATGTACAAGACAGACAATCTTATTGTAGTTTAATTTGTTGACAAGATGTTGTGATTTGTTTCATTTAATTCAAGTGGAATTTTTGGGCATTTGGGATAACAAATTCATTGTATCTATTATCACATAAATCATTAGGCATGTTAGATTTCATGTAAAACTGGTAAAGTCTTGTCAACAAATTTATCATTTGTTGCCCAACAATAAAAATTAAATGATACATTTTGGTGTCCTGTTCAAGTCAGTATTTTTCTCAATAGAACTGGAGTTGTGACAAAACTTGTTGTATTATGATGATGAGAATCTAAACTTCTGTTTCTTTATCTTATCCTATAAATGCAGTTTTATTTATAAAATAGATTATGATTGGTCCGAATAAAAAAACGTGATGTTACTTGCAATTCATAGTTAAGAACTAGCCTTTATAAGAATTGGAATAACTGTATAATTATAATGTATAGCTCAAATATTTTATTTATATTTTCCATTTTACAAGAAACTCTTTTCAATCAGAAGTACAGATATATGGTGTGTATAGTATCAGGATATAAAAAGTTGAGATTCTTGTCTACTTTCAGAAACCTGCCAACATTTTAGTGATGGGTGAAGGTGAAGAACGAGGCCGAGTCAAAATAGGTATATAACTGACTGTTACTTCTATTTCTTAACATATTTATTGAAATTTTTGAAGAAAATGACAAAAAACGTGTTCAAAATGGTTCAGTGTTCATAATCTAATTATTTAGTGTTTTTTTAAAAGTACATAGATTTTTATCCACTTTTTAATGGCTACTTGATTACCAGTAGATGAGCATATGCAAGAATCAACTGGATAATTTTCTGGGTACACAAAATGTTACCAATTAACATAATTATATGTTAGTTTTTCTTCTTTTAGATGCAAAATTACAAAGAACATCCAAAATCACTTTTGTCATACTTCTTTGAATAAATGGATTAAAGCCTTAATAAATACTTTTGAGGTTTGGCCTTTAAGCAACTACATGAATGAGTAATTTGAAACCTCATTGTCCAATAATTGCAATTTTATGATATTTCAGTGAAAACTGAAGCAAACAACACTTGTACAAACAAGTTTTTTTTTGTAGAGACTTTCAGTTAAGATTTGAATGAAACAATTTTTAAAGTGCTACTGATTTGTTACTTATAATTGCTAATGTTTACAGCTGGAAGATCCAAAGTATCTCAGAATCGCAATTACCTGCTGTACAAGTATGAAGTAATAATAAATGAATAATTAAAATAATAGTTTTAAATTCATAATAAGGTTTTCATTAACCTGAAACATTGATTCCATACTGCTACCTATTGCTTTTTAAATTCCACTCTGTAAAATATTTTACTCAACTTCTCTCAACTGTTTATGTTTGATAATCAAATTTGTATTTGATTTCAGCTGACATGGGATTTGCCAGATTATTTAATTCACCATTAAAACCTCTTGCTGATTTAGATCCAGTGGTTGTGACTTTCTGGTACAGAGCTCCAGAACTTTTACTTGGTGCTAGACATTATACAAAAGCTATAGGTATTGTATTTATAAAAAAATAACCCTTGATTCCCTAAGATAAATTTAGAAGGAAGGATTACCTTTTGAAGTGTCTTTTGCTGCTGCGCTTAGCGTTCATCATATATATCTTAATAAAAACCTTTTTTCCCTTTATTATTTTAAAAGATTGTTGTATTGAAAAGTTTAAAGTTTAACGAAACAGGAAGTAGGTACCTGACAGAAGTGCCTATAAAAAGTCTAGCCTTAGACTTCCCAAAAATGTATAGTATCATATAGTAAGGGCTTTGTCCTTTGTCCATCCTTCTTTCCATCTGTGTGTTTTAAGTTTACTTGAGTTTCCCTTGCTTGTATAAAAAGAAACATAAAAAGATTGGAGATAAAGAGTTTGAGTCAATTATAAATATAAGAAGACAGATAAACATAAATACAAATAGACATAGCATATGCAACAATACAATGTTGATTTGCTTATTGATGTTTGATCTCATATCATAGACAAAATACAGGTATATAAATGAACTGAAAATCATTTACTCATAACATGTTTTAGACTTGTTTTGCAGGTCAAATCAATCAATGAACTCTTGTCTTTCTGCTGTTACCTTTCTTAGTTTCACTTTTTCAGCTGACATTTGTTTCAATGACTTGACATGCTGAGCACACTCACAACCTTTCTCCAACTATGGGTCAAATTAACGACATGCATACAGACCCAAGGTCTCAATTGTAGACATGTCCATTTAAATGATATTATTTATCTAATAATAAAATATGTTATATCAATAAGCAGTTTCATATAAAAGCAATAAAAAGATGTCCAAAACCTTTTCCTTCTGAAAATTGAACAGTCCCAATTTTGTCAAAATAAATCAAAATTTTATCAGAAATATGTAATTTTGAAATTTTTCATGAGATAGGGGTAGATTATGGTTCATGCTGTTTAGAGAAAGCCAATCAATACATATTCTTATTTTTGTAATACATATTTGTTGTTATTTTCTTTTCAGATATATGGGCTATTGGTTGTATATTTGCAGAATTATTAACATATGAACCTATATTTCATTGTCGTCAAGAAGACATAAAAACAAGTAATCCGTATCATCATGACCAGTTAGATCGTATATTTAATGTAATGGGATTTCCACAAGGTAGGTTTTCTGTAGATCGTATATTTAATGTAATGGGATTTCCCCACGGTAAGTTTTTCAGTAGATTGTTTATTTAATGTAATGGGATTTCCCCGAGGTAAGTTTTTCTGTAGATTGTATATTTAATGCAATGGAATTTCCCCAAGGTAAGTTTTTCTGTAGCTCATATATTTAATGTTATGGGATTTCCCCCGAGGTAAGTTTTTCTGTAGATCGTATATTTAATGCAATGGGATTTCCCTTAAGGTAAGTTTTTCTGTAGATCGTATATTTAATGTAATGGGATTTCCCCAAGGTAAGATTTTGTAACATAGAAAATAGTTTATTGATATGTACACATATGTTTTGCTCACGTGGCCAGTGTGAGGTATAATGATAAATTGCAAAATAGCTGAGACTGCGTATCCTAGATGTTTTTTGATATAATTGGTGGCTTGCCTTTATTGTATTTGTCATTGGCTATTCTGTGGAACTCTATATTAATTGACCCTTATTAGGTCAAGACTTTATTTGTTTGATTTTTTTATACGACCGCAAAAATTAAAAAAATTTGGTCGTATATTGGTATCACGTTGTCGTCATCGTCGTCGTCCGAAGACAGATGGTTTCCGGATAATAACTTAAGTATAAGTGAATAGAAATCAATAAAATTTTAACACAAGGTTTATAACCGCAAAAGGAAGGTTTGGATTGATTTTGGGGGTTATGGTCCCAAAGGTTTAGGAATTAAGGGCGAAAAAAGGGGCCCAAATAAGCATTTTTGCAGTTTCCAGACAATAACTTGTGTTTAAGTGTATGAATCTCTCTGAAATTATACCACAAGTTTCCATACAACAAAGGGATGGTAATGGGGGGTTATGGCTCAAACCATTTAGCAATTAGGGGCAAAAAAGGGGGAAAAACAAGGGTTTTTATGGTTAAAGGACAATTTAGACAATTTAAAAGCAGTGTAAGGGAGGTAATCCAATCCATTTAAAGAATACTGTTGTATATATGTTTGATAACCTCCCTTACACTGCTTGTAAATTATGTATTAAGAAATGATGATTGTCTTGAGATGATTAGCTGTAAATTTATTTTTAGAAGTTACTATTAATTAACATGATTAATATTAATTTTAACCATGACTGTATGTCATTTTATATTTTAATATTTTATGATGTATTTAAATGAGTAGTTATGGTTGCAAACTCTATTAGAAATTTGATTTGAGATTATTTTTGGAATAAGGGAAAGGGGGAGTTGAGGGGGGGGGGGGGTAAATGAGAATTTGTGGGGCTACAATTAAATTTCTTCAAATATTTTTTTTTTTTTTTGGGGGGGGGGGGGGGAGGGGGGGGTAATATTCAACAGCATAGTGTATTGTACAAAAGCAAAAAAAAAACGGGTAAATTTTTTTTTGGGGGGGGGGGGGCAATTCGCCACAGCATAGTGTATTGCACAAAAGCAAAAAATTGAATATAAATTCAAATCATATAACCAATTTTAAGTTCTTTGACTACAGTTATTCTGTGTCAGAAACCTATTATGTGTCAAATATTTAATTACAATCCAAATTCAGACCTGTATCAAGCGCGAATATTGTGTCCATTTTTGCCACAACTGTTCAGCGGTCGTATCCAGCTGCGCTCAGCGAAGCATTTTATTTATTGATTTTTATTATTGATATTTGCAGATAAAGATTGGGAAGATATAAGAAAAATGCCAGAGCATGGCACATTGACTAAAGATTTTAAAAGATCAAAGTAAGTTTAAATCTGTTGGATTGAGATTTTTCAATGCCTTTCAAATATACAACATTCATCCGCAGTTTCTTATTTCATGCAATATGTTTGAGTTTGCTAAAATGAATAAAATAAAATATTTATATAGTCTTAACATTAAAAACAGAAAGCTTGTCAAAATTTTGAATTGTCACTTTTATTATTTTAGTTTCACCAAAAATTGTGAATGGTTTAGTCCATGTTTTAATTTTATAACCCAGTGCAAGGATACTATATGGTTTTCAGAATTAACATCTTTGTTGGATTTCATACAATACCAACCTTGCTTCTACCCTAATCTATCTTTTTTTGAGAATGCGAGACATAGGGATTTAATCCTGAGGTCGTGTAAACTATTTGTTTAAAGCTTTATATTTCAGAAGGAAGAAGACTTGGCTACTTCATACCTTGTATGCAGATGCCTTATGTTACGAAATTTTCAGTCTGGCTTATGTCCATTGTCCTTGACCTCATTTTCATTTTGTGTATAGAATGATTGCAACGTGTATATGTCTGTCTGGCAGGATTCATCTGACCTTGACCTCATTTTTATGGTTCAGTGGGCAATGTTAATTTTTTCTGATTTGGTCTATTTTTCGGATACTATAAGCAATAGGCCAACTATATTTGATGTTTCAATGTATATATGTCTGGCAGGATTCATTTGACCTTGACCTCATTTTCATTTTCATAGGGGCAATGTAAAGTTTTAATGGTTTTGTCAAATACTATAAGCAATAGGCAAACTATATTGGGTGAATGGAATGATGGTAAGGTGTACATGTTTGTCTAGCAGTGTTCATCTGAACTTGACCTCATTTTCATGGTTCATTAGTCACTGTAAAGTGTTCATGGTTATTTTTGTTTTTCAGATACTGTAAGCAATAGGTCAACTATATTTGGTGTATGGAATGATTGCATGGTGTACATGTTGTTTGGCATGATTCATCTGACCTTGACCTTATTTTCATGGTTCATATGTCTATTTTCATTTTTTATACGACCGCAAAAAAATTTTTGGGATCGTATAATGGTATAATATCGTCGTCGTCCGAAGACACATTGGTTTCCGGACAATAACTTTAGTTTTAGTGAATGGATCTCTATGAAATTTTGTAAGAAGGTTCAATACCACAAAAGAAAGGTTTAAATTGATTTTGGGGATGATGGTCCCAACCGTTTAGGAATTAGGGGCCCAAAAAAGGGCCCAAAACAAGCATTTTTCTAGTTTCAGGATAATAACTTGAGTATAAGTATTTCGATAGCTCTGAAATTGTACCACAATGTTAAATTCCACAAGTATAAGGTTGGGATTCATTTTAGGGGTTATGGGGGCCAACAGTTTAGGAATTAAGGGCCAAAAAGGGGCCAAAAACAAGCATTTTTCTAGTTTCCAGACAATAACTTGTGTGTAAGTGTATGGATCTCTCATACGTTGTACCATAAGGTTCCATATAACAAAGGGAAGGCTGGGATTGAGTTTGGGGTTAATTGCCCCAAACATGTATGAATTAGGGGCCAAAAAAGGGCCAAAAACAAGCATTTTTCTAGTTTCCAGACAATAACTTGTGTGTAAGTGTATGGATCTCTCTGAAATTGTACTACAAGGTTCCATACTATAAAAGGAAAGGCTGGGATTGAGTTTTGGGGTATTGCTCCAAGGGGGGTTTCAAAAAGTTGGGGGATTTTTTTCCCAATTTTTTCAAGGGATTCTTATTTTGTTTTCAAAATTTTTAAAATTTTGAATTTTTGAAAAGTTTTAAGAAGAAATCTTAATTGCACAGTATTGCGCAATGGATTTATAAGATCTTTGACCACATTTATTTTGTGTCAGAAACCTATATTATGTCAAAAATTTGATCACAATCCAAATTCAGACAGTATCAAGCTTGAATATTGTGTCCAAATTTGCCCCAACTGTTCAGGGTTCGACCACTGCGGTCATATCAGGCTGCGCTCAGCGAAGCATTTTAGTTGTTTTAGGTGTGTTTCTCGAATACCATATTCAAACGGTTAACTATATTTGGTGTATGGTATGATTATATGGTGTACATGTCAGTCGGCAGGGTTCATAGGAACTTGACCTAATTTACAGTGATCATTGATAACGTTAATTTTATTTGAAAATTATTGTACACCCTTCATATTCAGTCATGATAAATAAAGCAGGCGAGACATTTCAGCATGTGCATGCTTATCTTACATCATGTAAAATATTTACATGATGTATGAAAAAGATATATATTAAACAGAGTGCTTATGTTGTAGCTGTTTATTCCATTTATCTACCATATTAACATGAGCATACTAATTAAAGTTGATTATTCAAAACTTCAAAATTCTTTAAGATGCTGTTTATATTTTATCAATTTTCATCTAGTTTGATCTGGTTATAAGGGAGTGTTTTATTTGGTCTAGACAAAGATGGCATTAGATTATTTATCGCCTGAAATATTTTTATATAATATCAATTGAGTATTATTATTTCTTTGTATTTTTAGTTATGTAAATTGTAATTTAGTAAAATATATGGAAAAACACAAAGTAAAGCCCGACAGTAAACAGTTTCACTTGGTGAGTATACAAATTAAACAAGCTTTAAAACATTTAACTGGTTAGTAACACTATTTATGCAACTATAGGTTGTTGAACGTAAAGAATTTTGTCAGCATATGCAGCACTTTAAATGCTCATGTAAACCTCAAGTACATGATATTACTTGTGGACATCACATGTCTCATACAAGCACAGCCAAAAAAACTAACAAAAACCCTATTTCTTATTCTCCTGTTGCAAGGTTAAATGAGCAGAAGCATGTTTCAGTCTAGTTGATTATCTCATTTTGATTTCACTCATTTCCTATAGGCAGGATCCTTGTAAGCAAAGTGCTGACACAGGGTCTGTATTTAAATCAGATAGTTAGTTCCTCATCAAAACATTAACTTTATTATCTAAGTGTCTTTTCAACAAATAGTTACAGCAGAGGACACATCAAGGCTTCCAAAACGGTCATATTTGCTGGACAGATATAAATTTATCGGACATTGTCTGACTGGGCCAAGCATGAAACGGACATCATACGTGGGTTTGTCATTTCAACATTCATGTAATTCAGAAAAATCAACCATTTTGACTTGACCTTGTGCCTTTAACAGCCACACTTTTCCGTTCATAAAAGTGGCAGTACTCTATAAACAAGCCCTACTATAATCCCCTCTCATTACAATCAAGGTTAATTAAGTGTCTAACAGGTGAGATTTACCTGTGATCACATGTGTCAGGTAAACTATTTGAACTGGACATCAATCAATCTTTTTGGAAGTTATTTTTTTATTAAAATTAAAAACATTCCTGGTTTAAATCTAACTACTTTGTAGCAAAACAGATTTAGACTATCAGAAATGTTTAACAGACAGAACCACGTCGATTGAAATGTTAGAAGTGTGCGTATGTGCACAAGTGAGATATTTATTATGTAATAATGCATCCGAATTCATCCAAAACGATAAAAATGTCATTTATACCATTATCTTACATTCATCTCAAGTATTTTCCCTAAGAAATAACGTGGAATGAACTGCTTAAACTCAATAATGCTAGATAAAAATACACGGATTTTGCACAACTGTCTCTGTTCCGCGTTCTATCGTCGTCTAGTAAATATCCGGTATTGGAAAACGTGTTTATCAAATAACTAAGCTGGTCCTCGACTGACTAATACACTTTGTTAAGTCTGCGGATAATTGCCAATTTGAACCATGCACTATCAATGTAATTGTTCATGTCAAACGTGGAATTTATATAAAAACTGAAAAAATATGAAGTCTATGAAGTTTATCGTCCTTTAATAGTTGAATGGCTTTATCTTATGGTTATGTCCATCTTTTGTTAGGGGGTAACCTGTCTAAAGGGATAAAAAATGGGTTTGAAAAAAATGTCTGGCTGACTCAAATATTTTTTGGAAGCCCTGGGACACATGTATGTTTTTGGCTTATTTCAAACTTAATTTCAGCTGGAATATGAAACAAACTTGACGTGGAGTAAGTATACTACTGCCTAGTAAATTGAAGCTTTGTAAGTGGCAAATCCATCAATAACTGGGTATACAGTATTTTTCTGTATTTAACATCAAAACCATTGCATATTTTACACTCCCAGTATTGGTTGTTTTAGTATCTTAAAATTTATGCTTTTCATTTTAGTTACAAAAGTTGCTGACTATGGATCCAACTAAAAGAATTACCTCAGAACTAGCAATGAAAGATCCCTACTTTTTAGAGGACCCCCTACCATCTCAGGAGTAAGTAAAAGAGAGGCGAAAGATACCAAAAGGACATTCAAAAATAAACTGACAATGCCATGGCAAAAAAAGAAAAAAGACCAAAAGACAAGCAACAGTATACAAAACGCAAACATAAAAACTGAAGACTGAGCAACATGAACAGTATAAATGATACCTGATCAGATTAAATTTACTTTATTTACATCAAAGAATAGCTTAAGACTAAATAAGACAATAATTTATTAATAAATGTCTTTGAGAGCATTGTTTAGTCTTCAAAAGTTTAAAAAAACCTTTACTTTTACAAAGAAAGCACAAATTATTATCTTATAAAGCATGGATAACTAACATTATCTGTCAAATGAAAAATCATCACAATATCTGGGTTTTTACATTTTATTTTAACCATTTGTTCTGCTACAGTGTGTTTGAAGGCAAAAACATTCCATATCCTAAACGTGAATTCCTCACTGATGATGATGATGACAAGGCAGATACAGGAGCAAGCAAGGTAAATTTCTTATAGAAAATCATATACACTAGACATTAAGAAGATAGTCAAAGATACCCCTCTTGTCTAAATAAAGTAAAACTTTATTAAAAGGAAAAAGACATGGTTAATAATATTTTTTTCAAAAAAATAAGTCACTTATTTTTATGTTTTTAATAGTGAGGAATTTAATAACCCATTAATCAGTATTATTTCTGTATAAGAATAACATTGAGCACAAGTAAATAAATGAACTATCAAATCTCAAAGAATTAAATCTTGTAATATAGAAATCACGTTGTTTTCACTCTTTTAATAAAAGGTAACGTATTATGTAGCACAAAATGATTAAATACTGGGTGGATATATATGGCAAATAGGTATCAAAAATGAAAGTGAGGCTATGCTTAAAAACTGCATTGTTATATATGAAGAAGATATGTGCTTAGTTTGTAACTATGTAAACTTCGAATTTAAATTACAGGCTGGAGGCGCCGATCAGTCATCAGGACACAATCAGCCACCAGCGAAGAGAGTTAGAGTTATGCCCCCTTCTACGGTCAGTAGTTCAATGGTTTCAAGTGATTATCAGGTAAATCACATTACAACTTCCTCTTGTTGTTGTATTGTGTACTGAATGTCCTTGATATTGTACTTACAGAAACAGTTTTTGGAAAAGTAGACAATTTACATTTTTGTACCACTTAATTTTGCTCAGGAGAAAGATAATACATGTTGAAAATCAATGATACTTAAAGCAGTTTTTTGGGAGGGAAATTCCAAAATTTTATTTGAAATTACTTTTTTTTATTATCTTTTTTTTTTTAAATTTTATTTCCTAGAAAAGTTTATTTTCACTTTTGTCCATTTTTTCACATGATAGTAGTAATTAAAATTTTTTCCAAATTCTGTTTCACTTCTTATATTGAATGACTGTGAAAGAATGCTGTCTGTTTTTTGCATACATTATTGAATGACTTTATACTGATATATCTAATTGATGACTTGTAACACTGTAGATAGTATAGCTTTATTTGATTTAAGTCTTATCTTCAAAAGCCTCAACCTCCCCATTGAATTACTATACAAACCAATACAATAATCCTATTTTCTTCAATTCTCTTTCCAATGTTACAAAAACATAAAAAAAATAAAGATTTCTTTTCTTTGTCAGAAGTAAGATTAAACTACAATTTATAGATAAGCTAAATTCACTCAATCCACCTGCAATATTTTGTATAATGCCAGTAACAATCTGAAGTTAACTGACTTATGTATTTATGTAAAAATATGTATATTCTAATTTGGTTTGCACCGTAATATAAATAATGGAAGCGATGAAGGATGGGTTCACTAAAGGACTGTCACATTGATTTAGAAAATTGCTAAACATTGAATGATGGCAACTGCTTAATTGAATTTAGTCTAAGCTTATTCATTTTGATAAGCATAGCAAGCAAGATAGACAAAGTAGCTAAACAGTTCTTAGTACTGGTAGTTGATAATATACAGATATGTCATACATAAAAAGAATAAATCAGTAAATGTAAACGAAGGTGAATAGGGTATATGTACATGAAACAACAGTTCTATATAAAAATAAAGAGATGTGGTATAGTTGCTGGTGAGACATCTCTTTACCAAAGACCAAAAGGAGAAGGATGTGTACAACTATCGTCATGTACGCATCAATACACATATGAAACAACAAGTGTTGTTAAGATATATGTATTAGCATTAATCACCTGACTTGTATGCATTTAGCTAATCTGGTGTTACATAGCATGTAAAAATGCTTTGATGCTCATTAAAATAGCCACTGGTAATAATGATTGTATTGTATGCTATTAACAATATGATGTACTGCCTATTATAGAATGTGCTTTACTGCAAGCTATGTCTTACTAATTTATTCATGCTGCTATAACCATGATGATGACAATGCATACAAAAACAAAACTAGTGAAATATGTAAAAAAAAGTACTGATACTTAACAGCAATCATAATATTTTCAATTTTAAAACCAGTTCTAAGCATTGAACATGCCCACACAGAACCTGGAAAAGCACTCAATTTTGTTGTAAAAAGTTTGGGTTAAAGTTTGGCAGTGACAAAGTTTGGATTAAAGTTTGGCAGTGACCTTTCGGCCCTACTTCTCATTTAAAATGACATGTGACCTTTAAAAATCTTACTTTAAAGACTTTATACTTAGATTTGCTTAAAAATGACCTGGTGACCTAAAGCATTTTTAACAGTGCAGGGATATACATATTGTCACCTACAATTGTTTGCTTTAATTTCATATAATGATACATTAGAAAAAAATTATTCTAAAGGTATTTATGGTTTAATTTTAACCACCTGGGTGTTGAAAGACACATAATGATTTATGTTTGATTTAGTTCAAATACACTGCAAATTTCTGGACAAAAATGATAATTGTGTTTACATCATCAGCAAATGAGAGTGCTTCTTGAAAATTTATAGCCAAATAAAAAAATAAATAACCATCAACATTTCTGCTTCTAGTGGCATCAAGATGATAAAAATCTTGCCAGAAATAACTCTAATAATTTTTTAACGAAAGTGTCTTGATATTGCAATATATAAAGTAAAACATTGATAAGTATGTATATCTTCCACATAAACAATGTGGATGTTTATTTAGCAATTATATCAGGATATAAGTAACTGTAACAAATTTTGATTTAATATTTGTGTATTTTATTATGGCAAGGGAGGGAGGGGGTCAAATACAATGACTAAAAACTAAATTTATTTTAATTTCTTTATCTTTAAACTTGAGGACCAAAATTTATAAATGGTTGATCTTGCAACATGACATGAACAAATATTGAGAAAACTTCCTTTTACCCTACTTTAAGGAGAACACTAATAAAATGTTTCATCTACACTCTCTATCACACATACACACCTATCTTAAAGGGGCATTAGCTACGAGATATAAAAAAAAAAAAAAATTTTTTTTTTGTTCAATCATAAATGAAAGTGAAATAGTGAAATAATAATTTGTTTTCAGCAGCCAGTTTGGTTCAATTTTGTCAAAATAAGCTAAGAAACATCACTGATGAATTATTCACTTGCAAGAAAATTGACCTCAATGAATCAGTATTCATGTGACCTTCAATTTAACCCCCTAACTTGAGATGGGTTACGCATAAATTAGGCGTGTTCACCTATTAAACGGAAAAGAATGTCTCCATTGAAAGTGAACCAAGGTTTTTTTGGGGGTTTTTTGGAACCATTTGGTTGACTGATCCAAAAAAAACTCATTCTTATACAGGTAAAAACGATGATTAACATATTTTTTTAACCTATAATATGAAATCAAACAGATCTAGAAAAATCCAATTGCGTGTGTTCGCTATCTATTTATATCTATATTTATGTTTATATCGTTTAAATGACCGTCAGCAGTCTTCGGAGGTCACCTCGATGGTTAAATAGATGGAGTCTAGACTAAAATACACACGAAATGCTACATATTATTGAGCCCATATGGGCATCTTAAATTGTTTATTTTAGAATTTTTATAATTTGGATATACGTTTTAGTATGTTATAAATCAAATATGAGAATTTGAGTCGGTGAACTTGAATTTGACAGCTAATGCCCCTTTAAAACATCTTAGACATTTGCTTCATAGCAGTATTTCAACAATTTTTAGTACTGGTATACAAATTCAGGGGGGGGATTTTTTAGCATAAAGTAATTTCTGATAATTTACATCAGGATGAATAATTAGAATGAAATAGAAGAATAAAAAATCCAATGGAGTTAAAATGTAAAGAATTTCCAGTTCACTATTTCTGAAATAAAACATTTTTCATAAAAATCAAATTTTCTGGAAGTTAATGTTGTATTTTTCAATGTATCCATGGCTCAGTAAAGTCACTATTTTATGTTCAAATTGAAGTAAACGAAATGAAAATTTGATAAAACTATTTAAAATGACATATGTGTTTATTATTATGTAAAATATGCACAGTTTCTTTAATAGCAATGCACTTCTGTGTTGTCTTATGTATCCAATAGTCACTCATATTTTTGTACAGTAAAATGTATTTTCAAGTGTATATTTGATAACTTTTTAAATAAACTTAGGAATGTAAAATTATGAGAATTCTTATATTTTCACATCAAATATAATTGTCAAGAGATGAAGTTGTTTCATTGGAAAGAATTTTGAGAGCAACTTGTTCAAACACAGGAAAAAATAAGTTAACCACATATTTTAATAGAAGTTTTGGAAAAAATGAGGTTCACAAGTTTATTTAATTGTCACTTATTTAAAAACAATATTTGTACCCTAATATTACAAAATTCAAACCCTTTTTTGTACAAATTTTTAGGTTAAATTTACTCTATGATATAGGCAATTTTTGCTCACAAGTAATAAGAAAAACTTAAATCACGAACAACATTCACTGAAATTTTCATGAATTTTCTGATACACTAAACTGTCATATTTTAAAGTGCCCCAGAAAGAACAGTAATTTGTCAATTGGATTGTCAAATGTTTTAAATAGTGAGGAATTTAATAACCCATTAATCAGTATTATTTCTGGATAAGAATAACATTGAGCACAAGTAAATAAATGAACTATCACACTATCAATTAATGCATGACATTTTTTGTTGAAAAGTAATAGATGTAGTGTGTGTTTTAGTGGTTTGTGTGTGGCGTTAATTTGAGTTGTCTACATGGCAACATATCTGTAGATAATTAGAATTATATTATTAGTTGTGTGGCATTTATGTTTAAGTAGTTTTTAGTTAACATGCTTGCTAATCAGGTTGATGTATTTTAATTTGCAGGTTTTTCAGGTATTTATCATTTGAAATCCACAAATCATTTTATCACTGTTAAACAATCAAAACATCAGTCATTTCACCACGTCTTTCCATGCTTTCAACCTGTGTTAGTTATTTCACTGTGTGCAGCTGTTACCAAGGAAACAAAACATGTATCAGGGAGTCAATTTTTAATACAAGAAAATGATGTTTGAAACCAAAACTAAGGCCAATCATAATACCCTTGCAATTCCGAAACTGTAAATTCATTATACATGTACAACAATCCCAATAATAAATGCATGGTAAAATTTCTGAATTTACAGTATTCCTTTGTGGAATGCAGACATTAATAAAGGATGATAGTAAATGCTCTTAAACTACTATCTTAGTTACTGTTTAGATCTCTTGTCCAAAAGTTAATGTCAGATACTGAAATAGTATGCAAATTTTATGCAATTTGTCCCTTTTTTAGCTAACATGGCTTGAAAGGTCATGTCAGCTTTTGCCATCACTTTGGTCCATTGTCTGTGGTCGGTCTTAAACAAATTTTCTCCTCTGAAACTGCTCAATTGATTGAATCCAAAGTTTGTCTTCTTTATCTTGAGGATGTAAACTATAAACTTTGTGATTTGTTTTGAGGTTGATCAATAAACATGACTGCTTTGACTTTTAATTGTACACAGTTTTGGTTACATCAAGCTCTGTGAATGTTTAGGAGTTTGAATGTTTCAGGAGATGCATTTTATATACCAAAAAGTTGGCATACAGTGGTT